TAAAATCTGTTTAGACCACTGGCAAGATAACCCAGAAAAGACAGTAGATCCAAATAAGCTCAATAAGAAATGAAACTGGAGATATTCAACCACCACCACAGAAACACAAAAGGTCATTCGAGACTACTACGAACACTTACGTGCATAAACAAAACCTAGAGGAAATTAGTATATTCCTGGCAACATACAACTCTCCTAGATTAAATCAGGAAGAAATAGGAACACTGAACAGACCAATAACAAGTAACGAGATTGAATCCATAATTTTAAAATTATCAACAACAACAAAAAAGCCCAAGACCAGATAGATTCATAGCTAAATTGTACCAGACTTTCAAGAATTGGTACAAATCCTAGTAAAACTATTCTGAAAGGTTGAGAAAGAAATGATCCTCCCTAAATCATTCTATTAAGCCAGTATCACCCTGATACCAAAACCAGGAAAGAACATGTCAAAAAAATTTAAAAAGGAAAACTGCAGACCAATTTCCCTGATGAACACAGATGCAAAAATCCTCAACAAAATATTAGCTAACTGAATCCAACAGCACCTCAGAAAGATAGTTCATCATGATCCAGTGGGTTCCATCCCAGGGATGCGGGGACGGTTCAACATACACAAGTCAATATATGTGACACATCCCATAACAGAATTAAATGAAAACTATATAATCATCGCAAAAGATGCAGAAAAAAACATTCAACCATATTCAGCACCCCTTTATGATAAAAACTCTCAAAAAACTGTGCTGCCTGATTTGAAGACGGAGTGACAGGCTTGAACCAAGCGATGCGGGCAGCTGCCTCTAGAGGCTGGAAAAGGCAAGGAGATGGATTTTCTCCCAGCCTCCAGGAGGAAGGCAGCCCTGCCAATGCCTTGGTTGAGTCCTATAGGACTTCTGACTTCCAGAACTGTAAGATGAGCTATTTGTGCTGTTCTAAGCCTTTGAGTTTACGGTGATTTGTCACAACAGCAATAGGAAATGAATACAGATAACTACAAGCAACCCGCACATGAGTTATTAAATGTCCCTCCACCCATGTAGGAGCAGACCAGGAGCAAGGCAAGGATGCCTGCTCTTGACATTGCTATTCTATGTTAAAAGGAGGGTCCTCACAGGAGGAGTGATTCAAGAATGAGCATGGTGGATGATCATTCTTGGAATCCCAGCACTTTGGGAGGCTCAGGTGGGAGGATCACTTGAGCCCAGGAGGACAAGGCTGCAGTGAGCCAAGATGGTACTACTGCACTCCAGCCTGGGTGGCAGAGTGAGACCCTGTTTCAAAAAAGAAAAAAGAAAGAAAAGACAGAAAGGGCACAAGGATAGCAAAGGAAGGAAGAGAAAACAATGGCATTCAAGGTGACATGATTGTACAGTAGAAAACCCAAAGGAATCTACAAATAAAATGGTTATGATTAGGTCAATGAAGATATGGTTTGTAGATCTCTCTGTGAAAGTAAAACAAAAAGTTGTAGAAGTCACAACAAGAGGATATCATGACCTTGGGGGTCAGCAAAGAGGTTTTTTTTCTTTCTCGTATTTGGGCTCTGGGGTACATGTTCATGTCCTGCATCCTGTGCATAGGTACATACATGCCATGGTGGTTTGCTGTCTCCATCCACCTCCACCCCGCCTCAGGCATTTCTCCCAGTTATCCCTCCCCATCCTCCCCACCCCACCCCTGTTTTCCCCCCTCTCCCCTCCCCTCCACCCCCCTACACCTAGCCCTGTGAGTGTTGTTCCCTTCCCTGTTCCTGTGTTCTCATTGTTCATCACCCGCCCATGAGTGAGAACATGCGGTGTTTGGTTTTCTGTTCTTGTGTCAGTTTGCTGAGAATGACAGTTTCTACGTTCATCCATGTCTCTACAAAGGACATGACCTCATTGTTTTTTATGGCTGCATAATATTCCATGGTGTATATGTGCCACATTTTTTTTATCAAGTCTATCATTGATGGGTATTTGGAGTTTTAAAATAAGACATTAAAAGCCATGACCCAGAAATGATTGAGCTACATGAAACTGAACTACACCAAAATCAGGAACTTTTTATTGGTGCCTTTTAGCACCACTCAGAGAGTGAAAGGCAGTCCCAGGACTGAGAGAAGATATCTGCCATACAAACTAGCAAGTGACTTCTATCCAGGAAAGGGCTCCTAGAAATCATTAAAATAAACAGGCAATGCAACAGAAAAGTGGGCAGAAGATGGAAACAGGTATGTCCCAACACAGAATCATTAAATGGCCCAGAAACATGAAAAGGCAACTGCCCTCCTGGGTTTCCAGGAAAGATGAGATGCTAACATATACCCAGAGGACAGAGTCATATGAAAAGGATCGGCAGGGTGCCAAGTTGGAGAGGACGCACAGCAACTGGAAGTTGTATGCCTCTTGGCGAGACTGTGAATTGGTATAGTCCCTCTGGAAAACTTCATTTTCCACTAAAGTTAAACACACGACCCGCAATTCCACTCTTTGGTGTGGCCCCTGGAGAAGCGAGTGTTTATGTCACCAAAGTGACATGTACAAAACTTCATAGCAGTATTATGTGTAATAGCTAAAAACTGGATGGCTGGGCACAGTAGCTCAGTCCTGTAATCCCAGCACTTGGGGAGGCTGAGGTGGGCAGATCACCCGAGGTCAGGAGACCAGCCTGGCCAACATGGTGAAACCCCATCTCTACTAAAGATACAAAAACTTAGCCAGGCATGGTGGCATGCCCCTGTAATCCTAGCTACTCAGGAGGCTGAGGCAGGAGAATAGCTTGAACCCAGGAGGTGGAGGTTGTAGTGAGCTGAGATCACACCACTGCACTCCAGCCTGGGTGACAGAGTGAACTGCCATCTCAGAAAAGAAAAAAAAAAAAACCCTGGGAACAACCCAAATGTTTACCACGTTCACAAGCAATGAAAGAATAAATGGTTGATATACGCACAGAAGGGACTCTGGCTAGGTGCAGCAACGTGGCTGCATCTCACAGATGGGCTGAGTGAAAGCCCAAATCCGAAGGACAGAGAGTGTGTGTGATTCCATTTACAGGAGGCTGGAGAGGAGAGCCGGTGGTTTGGTGGGGATAGCTGAAGAGTGGCTGTCTGTGGGGGAAGGAGAATTTCTGGGGAGATGGAAATAGTCTAGATCTTCAGAGGGTGGAGAAAACACATTATACACACTTGTCAAAACTCATAAACTGGGCCGGGTGTGGTGGCTCATGCCTGTCATCCAGCCCTTTGGGAGGCCAAGGCCGAAGCATCGATTGAGCCCAGGAGTTCAAGACCAGCCTAGGCAATATAGTGAAAACTTGTCTTTACAAAAAATACAAAAATGAGCCAGGTGTGAAGGCAGGTGTGCACACCTGTTGTTCCAGCTACCCAGCAGGCTGAAGTGGGAGGATCGCTTGAACCCAGGAAGTTGAGGCTGCAGTAAGCTGCGATAGAACCACTGCACTCCAGGCTGGGTGAGTGTGAGACCCTGTATCAAAAAAAGAAAAGGATAGACGGGCGACTGGGTGAATGGCTGCCGTAAGAGTTTGTGTGGAGGGTCAGGCGCTCACCCCCAGGACTCCCTCCCTCTCCACCCACAGTAGATGTGGGGGCTGCCTCTGCCCATGAGAAGAGCCTCATAACCAAGGGGAGCCAAGATCTAGTCAAGCACCTGGAGCTAATGTCCAAGAGCAGGAAGGATGGGCATACAGAAGCAGTCTCAGTGCCAGCATCAGGAAGCAGACACACAAATCACACAAATGCAGAATGGGGACACTGGGGCCTGCTGCAGGAGAGGCCACACCACTGCTCAACAAGTCAAAGCCAGAGAGTGACCGGGTGGGGGGGGGGCTGCTAGATTCACAGAGACCAATGGAACTCAGGTTTCCTTTGAATCCTGATTAGAACAAATGTTCTTCAGAAGATGTTTCTGAGATAACTGGGAAAGTCTGCCGGTGGGTTGGGCTGGTTCGCTTTGTCAGGTGTGGTGATGATGCTTGGGATTGTGTGGAAACACCCCTATTGTTGCAAAGTCCACACTGAGGTGGATGAAACGACATATCTGAATTTTACTTTAAGATGTCCTGGCAAAGAAAAAGAGCAAAAGGACAGAGGAAGCAAACAGGCACATCTGAGTCAGTGGCAGAACCTGGTGGTGGGCCTGTGAGCCTCGCTGGCTCCAATCTCTATGTCTGGACATATGTGAATTTTCATTTGATTACATGATTGTAAAAGAAAGGAAAGGTGGTGGGGAAAGGGGTGGGAGCCTAGGCCATGGAGGACAGGCTGGGAGAAACGCTCATGCCTGCAAACCCCTGCAGAAGGACCAGACTGGCCTAGTAGTCCAGGGGCAGCTCAGGAGACTGCAGAGTCCAGACAAGGGAGGTCGGAGCCACAGTGCAGGAGGTGGTGGTGCCCTGTACAGGGCTACCAGTGTGAGGCACATGCCGCTAGCTAGCTGCCTACCCTTCTTCCTCCTAATGGTGGCAGCAATGTGCTCTCCTTGTAGACCTGATGGCCATATGGCAAATTTAGCTACTGGAATGTGGGCAGACATTGCCGGATGGGACTTTTGGGAAGAAACATTTCCCCTAGAGACGCTCAGCCAGCCAGAGGGTAGCTTTGCCCTTCCCTTGGTTCATTTTGTCTGCCTGGAATCAGATGTGATGAGGCTGCAGCTGCAGCAACCATTTTGTGAACACGAGACAATCTTGTGATTGAAAGCCCTAATTCCTTTCTGGTGGAGCAGAGAGACCTGGGGACCTGGTCACCTGAATGGTTTCAGTGAACTGCTGTTTGTGGAGCCTTAGGAAAGCCTGCACTGCCTCCCACATTTCTCATTAATAGAGGGAGCAATAAATCCTCCTTTGTTTACGTGCCTGTTATTTCAAGTCTCTGTAACCCAATTCCTAAAGGAAAGAGAAGCATTTCCTTCTGCCCTTAGCTTCAGAGACCAGGGCAGAGGGAGAGGATTTGCCTTCCACCAACATGGAGTTCAGCCTCCCAGCTTGAAGTTTACCTTTGTTTTCTCTTGCATGTTCCTTTGGTTTGTCTTCAGTGGTTGACGAAGAGCTGATGCTCAAGGATTCCACACTGTTCTCTGGGGAGACACAAAAGTGAGGGCCACAGCAGTGACTCACCTGGCACCTGAGAGCTGTAAACACAGCCTGAGGCAGGGAATGTCTCAGATGCATGAGAGCTCAGCCTCAGCTCCCTCCCCTGTGAGACCAAGGGCTCTACGTTGGAGATTTTGCCGGGAAGTTGTGAGAATTGTGGGAGAAAAAGGCCTGGGAATCCCTAGCACCTGCGCCTGCCACACAGGTGTTTTGTGCCTTCCCTTTCCCATCCTTCAGTGTGTTCCTTAGGAGTAACAGTGCAGGGCCATTTTACAGATGGACATACTGGGACCAAGGGAGGACAAGGACGCCAAGCCTCTGGCTCTGGCCTCGCCAGTGCCTTGCCTCCCAGGGACTTCCAGCAGGACTTGGATGGAAGCTCCTAAGATTCCACCTACTCAGGGAGCCCCCACCCCCATCCCACTGTGAGAAGTGGTCCTTCTGACCAAGCTGGGAAACCGGCTGTGTGCTGCCTGGAAGCCATAGCCTGTTTTCTCCCCAAGCCCGGCAAGTCTCCCTGCCCTGGGGTGAGCTCCCCAGCACCCCGTTTCTTCAGGTGACTACTCAGGTGTTACTGCTAGGTCCCCAGTGCTTTGCCTTTCTTTTCAGCTGATACCCACAGGGAAGGAGGGATGTGGCCCGACACTACCTCCACCCCCACCCAGGAATCCTTTGTAGCTCAGAGAGCCTGGTCTGCACCTGCGGGGCAGGAGCTGCCAGAACGTGGTCTGAGCTGCTCAGGGCGCCAGTCCTCCTGGGGGTGGGGGGTGGAAGTGGGGGAGGGGCTGTGTGGTCCTGGAGTGAAACAATGAGAAGGAAGACAGGGCTTCTCATGAGATGGGGCTGTGATACCAAGGCCTGGGCCCTGAGCAGATGGTCATGGGGTGAGGGAAGACTGTGGGAGTCTTGTTGGACAAGTGAGAAGGCCAGGCCTGGGCTGAAACTCAGAGGCTTTCAGGGGCCACACAGAATCCATAGTGTACGGTGCAGGAGGCAGAGGTGGTCGGGAGGGGTGAGGCTGGGGAGAACTCAGGGGCTTGGCTGCTGAACCATGATTGTTTCCTAACTATTTTAGTGGGAATGTGGTTAAATTTCCAGGTAGAATTTAATTAACCATATCATATAAATCAGAAGATACCACTGTTATTTAAATAGACCAAAACCTAAACCACACAAATCAAAACCTATTAAAATGAAAAAGCAGTGAATCCAGATATGGTCCCAGTTACTAGGGAGGCCGAAGGGGAGAACCCTGTGAGCCCAGGACGTCAAGGCTGCAGTGAACCATAATCATGCCACTCCAGCCTGGGTGACAGGGTGAGATCCTGTCTCTGAAACATGAAAGAAGGAAACAGCAATGCACATCAACAGCAAAAATTTCAAACAACACAGGTTTGATGTATTGATATGGTGAAATAGCCTCACCTGAAGCTCTCGCTACCTATATAGATTTTTTTTTTTATTTTGAGATGGAGTCTGGCTCTGTTGCCCAGGCTGGAGTGCAGTGGTGCGATCTTGGCTCACTGCAACATCTGCCTCCCAGGTTCAAGCGATTCTCCTGCCTCAGCCTCCTGAGTAGCTGCGACTACAGGTGGGCACCACCATGCCCAGCTAATTTCTGTATTTTTAGTAGAGATGGGGTTTCACTATTTTGGCCAGGCTGGTCTGGAACACTTGACCTCAGGTGATCTGCCTGCCTCAGCTTCCCAAAGTGCTGGTATTACAGTAATGAGCCACCACGCCAGGCCAAGATTTTTGTAGCACTAACTAAAGTATTTTATGCACACATATACTTATATGCCCCTTGCTTTTGCTTTTTCAGTAAAAAACTTGCCTGCTTACACATGAAAACAGAAATGAACCTTGAGGACATTACACTTAGTGAAACAAACCAGCCCCAGAGGAAAATACTCTATGTTGCTGCTCACAGGAGTCCCTAGAGCATTCAGAGACCAGGTAGAACAGTGATCGCCAGGGCTAGGGAAGGGGGAATGGGTAGCTATTCAGCGGGGACAGAAATTCAGTCTGGGGATGAGAAGAGTTCCAAGATGGATAGTGGGGATGGTGGCACAGCAATGTGAATGGGCTCAATGCCACTGAATTGTTCTTAAATATAGTTAAGATGGTCAATTTTATGTTATGTGTATTTTATCACAGTTTTAAGACTTTAAAAGTTCATCTGTGCTTGCATAAGTCTCGTCCGTACTTAGCCCAGTCCCTTGGAGGACCCTGTGGTTTTTTTCAACCATTTTTTGCAATTTCCAAAATTTTTTTTAATGGTCACTCTTATAAAATAAAATAAAATTTCAGAATGCTCTAAATTTATTAGGCCAAGGGGGAAGTTAAGCCCGGGCACCTGATGCATGTAACCTGTTTGCTGTTCTGCTTCTGAGAGAGTAACCCTCCTCTGGAGGTTGCAATGAGCCGAGATTGCACCACTGCACTCCAGCCTGGGCGACAGAGTGAGACTCCATCTCAGGAAAAAAAAAAAAAGGAGAGAGAGAGAGTAACCTTCCTCTTCATTGTTCCTGCTCTGTAAATGACCAGGAGAGACTGGACACCAGACCTCCCGCTTCTAATCACTGGACTTTGTGACAGATTATCTGCCTCTTTATTGTCCCATACCTAACTCAGAGAGGATGGCACCCAGGACCCCATGATAGTTGCATCTTCAGTGTGGAATAAGTATACCTGTCCAGAGAGAAAAGGACCCCTTGTAACGTGTGTGAAGCCTTCCACAGAAGGATGCTGAAATTCTGCTCAATTTCCCAAAGCTTTGTCTAGATAAGCAATCCCAGGCTTCTACACTTTGGAACACAGACTTCCATCTTCTGGATCCCTGACTGCTGGGTGGCCTCTTCTCAGCTTTGTGCTTGGAGAAGCTCTAAACCTGATTCTGATTCTTTTGGTTATTTTGGCTTGATACCTTCCCATCACCAGCTTTAGTGAGACTGTTTTCCCTACACCTGAAACTCTGTCACTCTAACAGGTGACAAAGGGCATCTCAGTTTTCACCTGCATTTCTTAACTAGGAAGAAACTGTGTGTCTTTTTGGATGTTAATCATCCATCTTCTTGACTCTCTTAGTATCGTTTGCCCACTTCTCTACTGAAATGTTCTAGTTTCTAGATGATTCTTGAGAACCTTCATCTGTCATATTGATGGACACTGGCTCATTTGTCAGAGCTGCTGAAAATAATTCTCCTTCTGGCCAATTTGACTTTATCATTCATTTTCCTTACATGAAAATTTAACTTTCCCTTAATGAAATGCTTCTGGGTTTACTGTCTTGTTTAGAAAGGCATTCTGCAGCTGAAGTTTAAATATCTTTTAGAAACAAAATCTTGTGTTTTCTTCTAGCATTTTAACCCAATTTAATTTTTTAACTTAAAAATTCTTTATTAAAATGTAAGTCTACTCTCATAATAATTTGGGAGAAATAGGAAAAGAATGAACTGGGTGTGAAACAGTCTCAAAAAAAAAAATGACAAAACAGACCAGGCATGGAGGTTCACGCCTGTAATCCCAGCACTTTGGGAGGCCGAGGCAGGCAGATTCTTGAGGCCAGGAGTTGGACACCAGCCTGGCCAATATGGTGAAACGCTGTCTGTACTTCAAATACAATAATTAGCCAGGCATGATGGTGCACCTGTAATCCCAGCTACTCTGGAGGCTGAGACGGGAAGATCACTTGAACTAGAAGGTGGAGGTTGCAGTGAGCCGAGATTGCACCACTGCACTCCAGCCTGGGTGACACAGTGAGACCCTGTCTCTCAAAAAATAAAATACACTGGGCACTCCACTCATGTGACATGAGTTCCCAGCATTGGAAGGTCCCTGTATCCTCTATCTGTCAGAGTCCTTCAGGCTGTGTCCTGGGCCACTCCTCTCCTTTCCTCCTAGACACCTCACCAGTGCCCACGGCTTTAGTTCCAACGGATTTGCTGATGCCCTCATGTTTCTGCCTACTCTCCTGACATCTAGGCCTCTATCCACAGCAGCCACTTCAGTCTTAGCTGGGAGGTTCCCACAGGACACTGACACCCACACATCGCCAACTGAGCTCCTGGCCTTCCCCCTTCTGCCAAACCTGCTTCACCACTGGCCTTCACCATCTCAGCAAACAGCACTGTGATGCACAGGTGTCATGGTGGAAACAAGGCATCCCTGACACCCTCTTCTCTCTCATTCCACACCCAGTCGGTCACCAGATCCCACAGACTCTGCCTCCTGAGGAGCACTGGACCTATCTGTCCCTGCCACCTGCACCCTCACTGTCGTCCCCACCCTCCAGCCACCCCCCCAGGCAGTAAATTCCTGGAGGGCAGGCATATTAACCGTGCCTTTTACCTTCTTATTTAGATGCTTTGACCTCTGGGGTCTTCCTGAGGCTAAAGGACCTTCCTTTCCCTCCCCTCCCCGTAGGATTAGCCAGTCCCTACAGACAGAAAATGACTTGCCCGGAGCACACCTTTCAAATGCAAACCACCCAATGCACAGCCCACACCCCAGCCAGAGCCTCTATCAGCCTTTCACTTTCAGGACCACTGACCCCTGCCTTATTGCCTCAGGGCCAGGGTCAGACAACCAGGGGCAGCCCTGTGCCTCAGAACCCCAAAACTATTCTAGCAAATCAGTCCTACACTTGCTCACTCACCTCACCGTTCCTTCCTGTAATTCCACAGTGGAGGCTCCTGCCCACTCTCCTTCTGCCTCTTGGCCAACCCTGCAATTTCTCTGGCACCCCCCTTCATGGTGCACCCCCTTCTGTCCTAGGGATCTGTGAGTAACCAGCCATCTTTCCAGAGGCCTCACCACACTGAGCAATATAAAACCTGTGTTTTAAACCAGCAGGAGCCATGTCTGTCCCATCTCTCACCAACCCTAGGATCATGCCAGGAGAGGTTAGTGATCATGCCAGGACAGTGGCCAGGCTCCTCAGAGTGCCCACCACGGGCTACAGAGCAGCACCTGGGCACTGTGA